CAGGAGGCATGCAAGAGCAGCAGATGCCCTTCTGAAGAGATTTATTTTCCCTTCAGGCAAAGATAGAAAGTATGAGGGTGCTGGAAGTCCAGGCATTTTTGTGAGTCTGGATGCAAAACCCCATTATTTCTCACCACAATAACCTTGTGACACCAACTCTGTATTATATGCAAAATATTACTACCAAAGTGCTTTATTCTGGTATTCTAAGCCCTGAAGAAGGACTTGTTTGGTTTTTTCCAAATACAGCATTTATGTTCTTGAAAATGTTACCTCTCTCTACATAGTGGGCTCTTACAGCTTCAGCAAAGCTACTGATACTTGCTCTCTTCCTATTTGGAGCCAAAAAACAGCAGGTGGAGAACAAGGATTTTGGGCTGAGCCTCCACACTGTCATTCAGAAGACCTAGTTTGAGCATTTATCCTGTCTCAGCTACTTTGCAAGTTGCTTAATCTTTGTGCCTCCTTATCTCATCTGTATAGGAGGATAACTCTTGTCTTGTTCAGGGGCAGAGTTCATTTCTTACTACAGAATCTAGTATGGTGGGAAGCCAATTTAATCTTAACCTGTGCCAACATTATCCCCAGAAGCTGTGCAAGGCAGAGCCAGCTTCCTGGTGACCTGGAACAGGCTGAAGACCTGGAACATGGAAGAGGTAGGTATCTGCACTGGATTAAAAAAAAAAAAGACACAAAACAACCAAACAAAAAAAAAAATTAAAAAATCAGAATGAAAGACTTTCTGTCAGTCTAAAGTAACTAGACACTTATCCATGCAAGTGTATGAATCAAAGCATTGTCCAGCCCTTGTTCAAATTCAATAGGCCAGAAAGTCAAATCGCTTTTCAAAGGCATGTCACACAGTTAAAGGACAAAGATTCCTATGTACTTGAGGTAGGTACAGGGCAGGCAGTGATCCATGGCTCTTTGTAGGAACAGTGACCACAACACAAACTGCTTCAAGTTGGCAAACACAGCTAAATATTAACGACAGCAGCTTTGAATACTGCTGTTCAAGAGAAAATACAGAACATGGGATGTGATGAAACTGGACAGCTGTCTAAAGCAAAGCACGTTCCATAATCCACACGTGAAGAAACATGCAGAAGTGAAAATCTGTTATAAATCAGCTTGAAAATCTGTCTGATTAATTTTGGAATAGAAAATACAGATATATGTGTCAGTGTGGACAATAGCCAGTATTCAAACATCAGGATCCCATTTCCCAAAATCATAAGAATGTTTCTAAAAAAACCCTAAACTAAATAAATGCTTCTGATTGTTATATTTTACTTGTACTGGTACTGTATTTTACTTGTACTGCTGCCCTCAGCTTCTGTTTTCTAACATTTTTCACAATATTCCTTCAGACCGAGACTCCTACGTAACCCCCTGAATCCAGAAGCTGGAACATAAAGTAAGAGCAAACAAACAGCTATTATGAACTGCCACAGACAGCAATATGATTAACCATGAATATCAATAACATCTTTGTTAGCATTCAGTACAGAATAATAAGGCGGAACAGGCCACATGTACAATAATCTCATACATCTTCCAAAGCTTAGAATAATAGGGAGAAGAATAGTCAATCCAAGATGAACCAGAAACTTTATCAACATATTCAAATGGGGAAAATTTCCATCTTTCAATGCCATAAGAAAGCAAGCTGAAAGTGAACTGATAATATTCACGTATGGAAGTTACTTAAAACTTAAACTGATCTGTATGCTGGGTTATTTGTAACTGAAAAGCCAGCTAGCTCATGGGTACCCACTGAGGCATGAGATTTAGAGAGAGCTAAAAAACATGAACATTAGCGTCAGAAAGCTTTCGAAGATAGCTTAACTCTCAGAAACAAAGACATTCTCAATCTGAAATGCAGCGCCTGTGGTTTCTGCCATCCAAAGTTAGATTATTGAGGCTCTAAGATAGCTATTTATTTGGATGTTATACATTTAAATGAACACTATTTGACATTCTTTCTGTCCCCAAATCCCTTCAAAGAGCTAACTGCACTGATTTTTGAGGGATTACAAAGTGATGAAGTTTTCTTGGATGAAATTTTAATTTGAGCAGAGGCCTTAAAACAGTACAATGAAATACTGATTCTTATTTTTTTTTAACTGACATAGACACAAAGTCTCCTAACATTAAATTTTTAAAAGTACATACTAGTTTGGAAAAAGCTATTTGTAGGCTCTGCTCAACTGTTTTCAACAGTGATTCAGGTACAAGAAAGTGATAGTTAAATGTATATAGCATGATGAAATAAGGAACATATCCTCACTGTGAGAGTGATAAAGTCATGGAAGGTCCTGCAAAGAGAAATACAGCATTTTATATGCTGTGCTCAGCATAAAGCAGACCTATCAAAGACAGGTCAGTCAACTTAATCTAAGGTCAACAGAGGAGATTTTACAGTTTATGACATGTAGGAGAGGAGATGATGTGATCCAAATGCCTAAATTCTAATTATATACAGGTTTAAAGGAACACAGAATACACAGGCAAAATCCAGTTCATATTAAGAGATGATCATACATTCCTAATGTAAATCAATAAACTGATCTTGTTTAGCACTGCAGGGAAAAGATGTAAGCATAATTCTCTACTAAAGACAAAGAGCAAGGGAAGACTCTGCACCTGTGTCTGCAGGAGCGTGACAGGCATTAGTTGTACCAAAGTCACCCGGACAGAGACATGACAGATGCTATTATCACTGTGTCTGCCAAGACCAAGCACAGCTGAAGCCAGAATGCAGTGAGGAGAAACATTAATGATCATGCCCCAAGAAAAGCTGCCAGATCCTGTTAAAAGGAGCTGGAGAAATATAATGTATTAATAACAGGCATATGATTTCACAAAGCGTTAAAAAATCCACGGCCCATGTTAGACTGTGATCTTTGGCAACAGATCCAAACCTGGGGAACGCGTCACGCCATGAAGCGCGCATCCATTTAACTTCTTGGTGCACTAACTAGCTCCAAGAGCCTGACCAGACTCTGAGGCAGGAGACTGTGAATGCAGTTAAAGAAAGTGCTTTGCCTTCCCGCCTCAGCAAAGTGACCCCTGTGTGCTCGTTAAATTCTATTCTGCAGGTAATTGCTGACTAAAATCACAGCAAGTCTGCACTCAACCTTGCTGTTCAAAGGAGGCGTTGCCTGTATTATGGCTTCTTGCTACTGAAGGTATTTAATAAGAAGGGAGTCAGATTTTCTGAGAGACCTACATAATTGAGAGCTTTATTAATTGGCACAATAGAAATAGAAATAGGATAGTATTGGTAATGGTTTACTTTTGAGGTAGAAAAGGGCATATATTTTCCGTCAACAGGATAATAAATCAGTGCAGCTTGTGCCACATTAATTTGTTAAACATGTTTTGCAGTGTTGGTAACAAGGTATTTTTGCATCAGGGGCCTTCATAAGACATTTATGAGGTTACACCGTTTTGACACTAAGCATGCGTAACAATCTATTAGGTGATCTTAATAAAGTTAAATGATGCAAATGTAGCGTTTAACCAGTAGAATAAGCTATCTTGAATATACTATGCAATATGTAACCATGAACAGCTTACAAAGAACCTGTAAACTATATTTTAGGGGCTAAAAGCGTTTGACTGATGAGGTATTTTTGGAAACGCTTTCCCCACAGTAAGATCACTGGCAGCTATCATTTATCTCACTCTGACCAAGATAAAGATAATCTGAGTGTACAAGGAATAATAAATCGTCTGCTGACTAGAATGCTCTCTAGTGCTCTCTTCAATTTCAGCAATAGGCTATTAACCCACTGCTTGTTCAGTTTCTGCTTTGCAAAACTACAATAACTTCCTTGTAACTCCATTAACTTTCACACGACTGGAGGGAAAAACCTGGCAAAGAACTAAGAGCTGAGCAAGTTCTACCTTCCACTAGCACTAAGAGAAGACAAGAAAATGGGGAAGTGCTCTGCATTACACACCCAGTGACTGCCCCTGCGAATCAATCAAAAAATGGTTCAGATTACCGCGAAAGAAAAATTAAGACTGAGAAGCAACATGCTGAACAAGCAGTAAATGGTTAACATTCCCCAGCCCTGAAGCCAGGAATGAGCACTGAGTAGCTCCTGTCCAGAAAAATGTATTAGCACCACCGCACCAGCAGATACTGACACAGGATGGCAGGATCCATCCAGGGAGGGATTCGGAAGAGAATGAACAATGAAAAGACAGGCATTGATGTGACATCTGCAGAGGCTGGAGAACAATTTCCAGGGAATTAATGTCTTTTAATGAACCAAGGTTTAACTGTTATCAGTCCCCGTTAGAGATCATTACTATGAGAAACAATGAGAGCCGCCTGTATCATTTTCTCCCTGCCGGACATGTCTGTGGGAGAATAAAACTCTCTCCTTCTTCTCCAGTGACAGCTTGTTACTGCCAGCACTAGCTGTAACTGAATAAGCTTTATTCAGATGGTAGCTAAATTTAGCAGATATTAGCACCAAATCTCTAGAGGGGCGAAAATGGGGGAAGAAAGCTTTAAATAAATAGACTACAGTAACACTGAATAATAGATGCAATTTGTGGCGGAGTGAACCTCTGCGCCCGAGGAGTCTAGCACAGAGCTAAATCTGGATTCTGGGGCCTCACCGAGGCACAACAGGACACTGCGACTGCCATCCCCTTTCCTCTCGGCCCGTCGTTCTTATGGCCCCATGGGGCAGTGGGCCCCCCTAAGCAACCCTGTCCCCACAGCGGTTCCTCCACGACGGTGTAACACAGCGGGCCGGCTGCCGCCCCACACACCGCAGAGAGAGGGGCCATCGGGAAGGGCTGCGCACCCACTGGGCTGGTCTGAGGTAATCTCCGCGCAACATGGCGCCGCAACATGGCGCCGCAGCCCTTCCGGCCCACACACACACAACCCGCCGCCCCTCCCTCTGCGCATGCGCGCCAGGCCGGTAGGCGGAAGTGGCGTCCCCGCGCGGGCGGAAGTGTGGCGAGGAGGCGGAAGTTGGCCGGCGGCAGCGGGGTGGGCGCCATCATGTCGGCCTCGCTGTTGCGGCGGGGCCTGGAGTTGCTGGAGGCGCCGGGTGAGGTCCGCGGTGGAGCCGGGGCGGGCAGAGGGTGACTCCCGGCGGGCGGCCGGGACTCACTCCGGTCCTCTTGCCGTTTAGCAGGACTCCAGCGGGGGCGGGACGGCCCCGGGGCGGCGGGCGCTGCCAGGCGGAGGAAGAGGGCGGCGGGGCCCGGCGGGAACAAGGCCACGGTGAAGGGCAGAGTCGTGAAGTCGGCGATAGGTGAGTCCCGGGCTGCCTCGGAGCGTAAGGGTGAAGGAGCTTTGCCGCCCTCCGCAGCCTTCGCACCGGGTCCCCTCGTGTCCCGCAGCCAGCTTCCCCCTCGCCCGTATCCATCCCTCTCCGTCCCCCTGGATGCCCTTCTGGTGTCCCCCGCTTACACACAGCCTGATCTGTGGGCGCACCCCTCTCCCTGAGCTGTAGCAGTGTCTCTTTCTCCCGGGGCCCCGCCGATCCTCCTGTGTCTCTCCTTGCGTGCTGCCTGGATGAGCAGCTGATGTGTTTTGTCCTAGAGGAGTTTCATAAGAAGAAGGCTGTGAATCACTTGAGAGCGAACCTGCAGTACATGTTGAAGGGGCGATTTGTTGCAAACAAAGCCGTCACAGAACAAGTAAGACCATCGCTTCTTTCTCTGGGGGTCTGCTTCCGCTGAGGCACATGGGTGAATGGGAATCATCCCCAGATCTTCCAGCTTAGACCCTGGGCAAAGGAGTCAAGTTAAGTTTCTCTCTGCAAGTGCCCTTGAGCAGTTTCTGTGTGCACTGGCAAAATAACTTACTAAGCTTTAAACTCTTGTTGATACGTTGTCCCCTATGATGTTCTCTGGTAGTAGTTAAAGTGTACTGACAGCTGCTGGCTTTTCTGAATTACCAAAGATATTTTGTAGCTTCTGCTGGCAAAGAAGCCCTAGTTCAGACCACCTCCTTACTGTCGATGGAACCGGCCTTCTCTGTAGCTGGAGGCTGTTTAACAAGGAACCAGATGTGCTGCTGGCTCATGTAATAGCAACTGCATAGCAGCTTAAATGATGTTTCTCATAACCTGAGACTTTAACCAGCGCCCTGCCCCAAAAGATAGTCCCATGCCAGGATTTGAAGAGGAGAACAGCTGACTGCTAGAATCTTGGGCTATTTTTATGAGATATCAGCTGTTAACTTACATAAAGAAACCAAAGGGTTTGGGCCAGGGTTTCTCAGGCTGGAGACTGTGAAAGGAGGTAACGGTGTGTTAGGAAATGCTGAGGGAATTCCACCAACTTGTTGGGTTTTCAGGTTGTCTCATGGAGAGACAGGATAAAAGCAGGTCATAGTTTCAGAAAGGTCCGAATCGAAATCAGTGTTTCTATCTCTGTGACAGTTACCAGAGAGTAGTTTTCATATTTGACTCCAAATACTAAGTTGGTATTTGCTGTTGTCCCAGTGACCTGCTTCAGTTAACATCGGTGATTGCCCCTCACTTCTGTTTGGAGGCATTCCGGGATACAGCAGGGTACTAGTAGAACAGCAGGGATGCTGCAGGTGAGCTTGAAAATCACTGTTCTGTGGTTTGGTCTGGATAACAATGACTGTTGGTTTTTCCTTTTTTATTGTCTGAAGGTTCTTGCTCAGAACAGAGGCAGGAAGTCCAAAGATCAGCCTCCAAAGAAGGCAGCAAAGAAGAAGCCTGAGGGCACCGTCTTTACTGAGGAAGATTTCCGTAAATTTGAGAGAGAATACTTTGGGAGACCATAAACAACGTGACAGGGATTCTTGCAGCTCCATTCTTTCTGCAGCTAAGTGCTCGGCATGTGGGACTGGCCATTTCCCCAGCGTGTTTGAGATAGGATATCAGAGATGTGCTTCTGTCAGCAAGTGCTTTAATGTCACACTTGCGGAGCAGCTCTGCATCTGTGCAGAACTTGTTACTGGCCAGCTAGAGCCACAGAGGTTCTCTTGGTTCTGAGATGCGTTGTCCTTATAATTACCTCCCTCCAGCCAACATGTCTTGCATTCTTAGTGTAGAAGGGTGGATCAAGCCAAATACAATTCTTGTTCCCCTTCCTCAGGATGTGAGGCTCCTGCTACCTGCGTTATTTGGCAGGGGGCATTTAAAGTACTGTGTCTGAATGGAGAAATGTTTTGGAGCAGCAGTCATAAGTCATCAGAAGGGAAGGATGCTTTGAAAGACTTAAACCTGAGCAGCCCCGCAGTTTCTGTTCTCATTACAGCCTCTGTCAGGTTTTTCAGTCATTGCAAAAACTTTTTACATGTCGTTTGATTAAATAATTGTTGCAGACGCCGCCTCTCTTTGCCTTTGTAATAGTGATTATTATGACAGGCTACGACTGATGAAGACAAATGGTGTCACTGTTGCAATCCAAGCACCCCTCTCTTGAGGATGACTCAGTTGTGTGAATGCCCTCTCAGATTCATCTTGACACATGTATTTAATCTTCTCTCTGATATGCTCAGGCCTTCAAAGAGTGCAGGTTAGAATGGACATGACTCCTCTCTGTTTTGCCTACTCACAGTCTCCCCTCTCCAAAGAAGAGCTCTTACATGGAGAAAGTTGTCCTTTGGGTGCTTACACCTGAGCCTCCCACTGAGGCTGAGCCAGGCGAGGAGGGCACCGCTACTAGGCACTGCCAGCTCCCGTAGCCAGGAGGGGTTGCGACCCAGTCGTTAGCCTTGGCATGGAGTTAAAAACTTCTGAGCCAGAGGTTGCAGTGCTGGGTTGAAGGGGAGTTTTTTGTCAGACTGCTGCTAAATTCCTGGCTGCAACAAATAGAAGGTCCAGCAGGTGGGAGTGTTGTTCCAGACGCTTCCATGCTAGACCACTGCAAATGTGCTTCTGGGGAGTTCCTGTCACTCACTGCCCTTTCCTGCCCCTTACCTAAGAAGGTGGGAAGTGTGTTCCTTTTGGCAAAAAAGAGGTAAGGAGAAGGACTAATGCCGAGCTCTGGTTAGACTCAGGAGTTGATTACAAGGGGCTTGGCTGACCTGAGCAGGAGCTGCTTGGATGTCAGCACCAGTGGGAATTTTGTATCCCTTCCCTGCCCTCTGATTATAATTCCTGGTGCTGTCCTCTTAAGTCTGTGCCTCCTCTGTTGTGTTCTTTCCCTGTTGTCTGCATGGGAGGGAAGGTCAGTCAGATGTATGAGGTCCAGACAGGGGAAATATTGAACATACTGAAGTGTATGTACTGGAAATTGTGTAATAGCATGTGGGAGGGGATTTCTTGTAATAGGATCAAGTTCAACTATCTGCAGCCAAAAGTGGTAAATATAGAACAGTTCAAAGACCAATTCCCTTGTTTTTCAGTTTGTTCTTGCTCCCAAAATTAAAAACTGTGTAAAAAAAAAAAAAAAAAAAAGACTGACTCTCTGCTTCTTAAAAGAAAGGAAATGCTATTGTTTGTTTGAAAAAGTAGTTGAGCAAAATGTGTATGCAGCACACCTCCTTAAAACCTCTGCACTCAGTGCCTGAGAGCTGGTCTAACACACGCAGCTTGGTGTGGAGCTGTGACGGAGACAATTAACAGTATGAAAAAGCTGGCTGTGCCACAACTTGGTGTTCTAAAAGAGGTAGATTTCTGGGGTGTTATTTTGTTTCAAGCCCTCATCTTCAGTATTTGGCAGTTCCTTTGACTTTACAGAGGTCCTTCATGTCACCCCCTGCACCTCCTCTACCAGTTCCTCCTACACACCCTTATTTCTGTGGTTGTTCAGCTCCTGGGCCCTTCTTCTGCAGGCTGAGGAAAGCAAAACCATCCTTTGTTGCTCCAGAAAGGAGCACTAGGGTAATGCGGTTCACTCTGTACAAAACCTAGCTTGTTTGCTCACAAATGTAAGCAAACAGGAAAGCTGTTCTTTCAAAGTTAATGAGGAACTTTAAAGTGGGGCTGAGAGCAGTTTTCCCTGAGGATAATAACACCCAGATCTGTGGAGTTTTGAAGTTGGATGGCAGCTCTCATTACTGGCTGGAAAGACTATTGGGGCCAACACGAGTAATCAACACACTTCTTGTGGCTATATGCCATGAGGTGTTACATTGTTGAAGAAGGTAAAGCTACCGGACAGACTGGATTTTGCCATCTGAAATCAAACTAGGTTGTACAGCCAACAGTATCCTTAAATAAATTAAACTTTATTTTGCGGGAGGAAGGAAAAGGAAGCAGAAGTGAACGGGTGGCTCTAGATAAATCTTCTGCAAGGGCAAAGATCTGACCTGTTCTAGCCTTGATTTTTCCCCTCTAGCAGAGCAGGAGCTCCTGTGAAAGAACAGCAGTGCCACCTGCACACTGGGTAGATAAGAACAGGAGTTGGCCCCTGAGAAGAATGTCTTCAAGCTAGAGGGGACAATAAGCACCAGCCTGTTGCATGTGCCTGGTGGCAAGCTGAAGCTAAGCATCTTCTCGTACCCCCAAATGTCTGTGTTATGGTCTAGTCATGCCTAGAGCATGCCAGCTCCTTGGCTGTGCTGGGACCCCGGGAGGTGGCTGTCTTAGAGCAACCTGTGCCATCTCTTTGCTCCTTGCAGCCAGACTTTTCTGCCCCGTGTAAGAGAGAAGAGGGAGTTAGGGAAGGACCAGCAGCCACAGCTACTTTTCCTAGTTGGCTTCCAACCTCCAGTTCCCACGCTGAAAGCTAACACGCTGCAGCCCACAACCCTCGGACCTGCCAGACGGCATTTCTCGCCCGCGCAGCTGCGAGCGGCGGCACAGGGAGGCATCCCGCTGCTGCGGGGCGAGGGCCGTGTGCTGGCTGAGCTCATCGGGCTGCTGGCTCTCTTCCCAGCTCTGCGACACTGGCTGAGCATCCTGCAGCAGAAAATAGAGGTAGCTGAGCTAGGGAAGAAGGAGGAGGGTGCCATCTTACAGTGCATCCCCACCCACAGGCAGCAGGGAGTCGGAATGGAAGGCGGCAGCGGCGGCGGCAGCTTTAATATAAATGCAAATAAAAGCTCTGGAGCATTATTAATGTGGTAGAACCTTTCCAGGGAAACAGTTTGGAGGAAGCAGAACAGTTCCCAGATGGTCAGTGTTGAGCTAGCTTATTGTGAGTAAGATTCATCAAGCCGGCTAATGGCCTATTGCTCCCTCTGTTACATGAATGGAAAGCATGCAGGAAAATTTGTTTGGATGGGTACAAGCTAATGTAAGCTGATAGAGCCTCTGCTGTATCAGCAAGTCTTTACTTCTTTAGCATAGAAAGCAACAACAGCTAATACCAGCATTATATGTGGATCGGGATCAGGAGGGGGGAGGTCTGCAAATGTAAACCACGAAAACGTGGTTGCCCAGGACACTAACCAACTTCTTGCCTCTGAAATGCCATAGCAGTAACAAAGCTGGCTGCCAACAAAGACAGACTGTAAAACTTGCTCAGGCAAGCAAGACTTGAAAAAGCTGTGAGGGAAAACTGGGGGGGAGGGGGGAGGGGGTCCTAAAAACCTTTGAGAATCTCAGTTTCTGGTTTCTTTTCATGACTGACTTCCATGTCAGCCTTGCTGATGACCAACCAGCACAGCATCAGCACTTACAACACTGACAGGCTGCTGAATACTTTGGGTAAGGGACTGGTTATTGTAGAAAGGGTGCACAGCAGCAGCGCCCTGAATAGCTCACAAAAGAGAAGTTAGAGCAAAATGAAGTTTCTCATTTTGAAACAAGAAGGCCCATCGATTCATTTAAAAATGAGGAGTGTAAAAGAAGGCAGGCTGCCTAATGCCTGCTTACAGCTCAAAATGTGGAACTCCAGCCAAGCCAGGCTGAAAGATTAGTAGGTTTGAGACAGATTAAAGGTTTGCATATCTATCCATAGTTACATTAAATAGGATTAACAGTGCCAACTACTAACTGGTGGGGGCAGGGGAAATAAAAAGCATGGAGGTTGCTCTGCAGCTGTCTACAGGGTTACACACACCTTTTTCTGAACAAATTAGCTGTTGGCAGGGCTAATCAGTAATCTGCCCATGCTGGTCTGTCCTGAGCTGCACCATTTGTATGCCAGCAGGTTCGTTTATGTCCTTTAACGGGAGGCAAAGACTAGGTCTCTTTCGCCGACTGTCCGTGCGCTGCAATGGCGATGCAGAGGAGTTGTTACAGAACTAGGAGATTCTCTGCCCTATATAAATTAAGCTGACACGTCTGCTGCGCTTGGAACTCGCTCCCTGCCATTTTTTAAAAGGGTGTGTATGTGTAAAAGAGAGGAAAGGAGCAGCTGAAGGAGAAATGAGAGGCGGCTAGCCATTACTTGGAGAACACGCACCTATGTAATAGGGAAATTTGAGCTTGTGGGTAGAGCTAAGCTTCATTCAGTGGCTTGTGACACTGCATGAGTGCACTGAAAATCATGCAGACAGCATACCTGGGATACCTGAACAGCCAAAATAGTTCTGCCTAGGTCGGGGGACCTAACTCCTGTTAATTCACAAGGCCCAACTAAACAGCCTGAAGCATTTCAATGGGAAAGTCAGCAAAGATGAGCTGCTTTGGCCCAGCAAGGGCTGCTCGTGGTAAGACCCCAAGACTGTCTTTGCACTGGAAATGAAGTGTAACAGGAGTATATGTGCTGGGCTGCATGGCGAGGCTGTGAATACGTCAGGAGGATGGAGGAAGGTAGGTCATCCTCAGAAGCTACTTGAATCCTATTAAGAAAAAATGAGTATGCACAAGGTGGAAATTATGTGTATAGGAAGGACAGTATAAATCCTGTTTTTTCTGAAAGCATAAGCCTGTGGTAAGATAAAGAAAATGTGTTATTCTGACAAAAAATACATAGATTTCCCAGCCCAAAAAGTCCTTCTGAATTAGGAACAGGTTTATTAAGTGGAGAAAAAGGGTGGCTACACAGCAGTAAGCGTTGAGAAAGCCAAAGACATCTCAAAATAAAGTATATGGATATGCCAAGAACACAAGCTGAACCATACTTTTAAAAAAGGTGAGGCAATACTTAACGAGGCTGTGGGAAATGCAGGCAAGGAGTGTATTTTTTTTCAAGAGGCATGTGACTCCTCTCTGGAGACGACATGGCTTTGGGGCCAGGTCAGAGGGAGCTGTGACCGGACTACCACTGTGTGAAATTGTTTCGATCAGAATAACCCACTTTTTCTTTCTACCAGTCCAACTCATCAGTGCTGAGGGAGCATTCAACTCCCAAAGGACAGCCTGTCCTTGCAGCTATTTCTGGGCTTTCTGCCAGGGCAAAAGTTACTTGGAAGATTTTATCATCATTCTTTCTTCATTCTCCGAAGCTGCAGCTGGGGATTTATTTTTGTAAGCATGCTGCAAAGGTGCATCTGGTTCTCCACACAGGCATGTGAAGAAGTTGTCAGCGGTGGTGGTTTCCTCTTTTCGTTTGCAAAGAGAAGTGCAAGCACCTGGGTCTCTCTCAAGGCAGAGCGAAGAGGAAGGTAGTTATAAATATCATTATAACAGCAGAAACAAGCTCGTGAGAAGGGGCCATATGTTGTCAGAGCAGCTTTTCGAGCAGTGACCCGCCGGGGGTTGTTTGGTTATGTATGGGAATATTGGACTCACTCATGTTTATCATGACGTACAAAATCGGCTAAGGGATCGGCAGCCTGAGGGTCATGCACACTGTGCGTGTGAAATCCACTTCACTGCCCTTAATTCAGAGGAAAAATAACTGAGACAGAAATCCCATCAGCTGTGCCAAATTCAGATTCAAATAGCTTTTATACAATGTAGATTGGGGGAATTCTGCTGTTTCCAAGTATGTAGAAGAACTGGGCTCCACCAGGGGTAGGTAAAGCCTGCAGTTCATGCACTACAATCCATTTCTGGACACGGTATCATGCTGTACGCAAGCTGCAAGGATTCAACTGAAGCACATTTGTTCTGAAAGGCTGTGAGAGAAAGAAGATGGCTCCTGCAGTTTGCAAAATGTAAAATCAGTCACCAGGCAGGAGGCTATCAGACTTGTTCTCCCGCGGGCTGGAGCTTGTTAGGTGAGGGTGTCCTTGGTGTTCCTTGCCTCCTGCGGCAGGCTGGGCAAGCTGCTGCGCGGCAGAGCCAAGTGGTGTGATGCTGGCTGTGCCTAACACAAGCCTGGAGGAAAAGTCTAAATGAAAAACGCAGAGGAAGAGTCAGCCCTAATCTCTACCCAGTGTAAAATCTTAACTAAGTTACTAAGTATGGAAACACGGCGTCATTTCAGCAGGCATTGCATAAGGTTGCCACATTGGCTGCCTCTGCAAAGCTGCAAGCTCAGAGCCTCAGCAAACAGTAACGACACCAACCACTTTTTAAGGGCAGGTTTCTGGTTCTCCTGCAAGGAGTCCTATAAAACACACACACAGATACAGGGCAGAGAGCAAAGCAGCACGGGTGCGTCATGCGTTCTTTGTCTCCTGTTCCAGCTCTGATCTTCCTTTCCTGGAGTGAGTGTAATTTGGTAAATTGGAGCTACATACTCTCTGGAGGGCTGTAGAAACCAGAATCATGTATTTACTGGCCAGCACAGACACTGGCTCGCCTGCCTGCAGACCATGGACTCAAAGAAAAATTTATTTTAGTCAGGGGTGGCTCACAGACAGCCCTGCCATGGGGATGGGGTGGGGGACAGGTGTGCTGACAATCTTTCCAGGCTTTGGGTGAGCTGAGTAAGGGCTGTGAAATACACCCGCTGCCCCCGCAGCCCGGGCTGCTGTCAGGTTGAAGCAGAAGTTGCAATGGCTCTAAGGGAAGCAGAGGTGGTTGCCCCATGGTTGAAAAGGGGGATCATTATGGGGAGGAGAGGAGGGGTTTGCCCTGCACAGAGAAGCCACTTGCTCATACCAGTTGCCATGTTTTCTCTGGCTCAGCTGAGACCAAGCACATTGTCACCTCAGGTACAGATGTAACCCATCAAGGGAAAGACTGTCCTGTTCATTGGGCTTCCCTGCCTCTCATTATCCCTGTCCCCAGCCTGGCAGGTCCAGCTGATCTGAAGGAAACCTATGAGGTTGCTCTGCCTCCCAGAACAGAGGCAGTCCCAAAACAGCACGCAGTCACCAGTGAGCTCTGGAGAACAAAGCAGCACTTAAAGCAGGACCTCAATGTGCCTGCCTGTTTGCAGTGCGTCCCATTTATATAGTGCATAGTAGTCAGAGCGTTTGCCCAGGAGGTGAGCGATGGGGCAGATACTCCCATGCAGGTGAGGATTCTGGGCTCAGACTTCTCAAACAACAAGGAACTCGCTGTTTCTTGAAACCCCAGGTGAGGGTCTTAGTTGCCTGCACCACTTTCAATGTGGCACGAGCCCTAACTCCTGACAGGGGTTCTGTAATTTAAATAGCATGCACATCACCCAGGCACCAGCTGTAAGCATAGACGGGTCAAGTCACCACCGAGGGCCTGGCCCGCTCAGCCCTCCCTGCTGCCAGCAGTTACCTACTTTGTCTGCTGGACCAGCGGGTCCCAGAGCGCACGGCTGTTATCCCGTGTCACACATCAGCGAACCGCCTGGGCAATGAACAGGGCTGGAGGACCGCAGCCCGAACTTGAGGACATAAGGAGCTTAAGTGCCAGAAACCAGGACCCCTGCGAGGCTGCAGCTGGACAAACGATTTTCCAATACCATTAGGGACCTTTTCCCTCCCCGCTCCAGCGCTGGCTGAGGCCGTTCCTGACGGTGCGCGCCGGCCGGGCTGGGACGTGCAGGTGCCTGAGCTGGGAAGATTACTGGGTCATGTCAGTGCAAGCAAGAAGGAATCTTTAACTCCTCGGGGAAGGATGTGCACGTCCACATGCCAAAGCTGGCTTCAGCAGGCCAAGTAGGGATTAGGTGTTGCTAAATCTGGTGGCAAAAAAAAAACCAAAAAACCCCCCACACAAAATGATTCAAAATGGCACATTCCAAGTCCTGAAGCTGGATGTGGAACTTCACTGCTGTTCAGGACCTCACAGAACTAGAACCAACCACAAAGAAAAATTTCCTTGCATCGAGTGGCTAGACTATAACCTTACCCACTAATAAAGGAGCACTAATTAATATCTACAGGCAGAAACCACCCTGCTACACAGGCTCCTGCCTGTCATCTTTGTGTTCAGGTTCTCTGCAGCATGTAACAGACACCATCGCAGCAGGGTTGGGGTTTTTTCCCCCCCGTTGCACCTTTTCTGTTGCCACGCTCCAGCACCAGCGCGCTAACTCTCCTACCACAGCCCCGCTGAGCAACGCAAACCCCAGGAGCCAGCCTGCAGCTCACCGTCAACAACCACCACCAGTATCCCCAGCAGACACACGCTGCTCCAGCACCTTCTCCGCATCGGCTGCACGGCTGACTCGGGAGAGCTGAACCAGCCTTACAGACCAACTCACCTGTCCCCGTGGCAGGACAACGTCCAATTTTATGTTTACACCTTAAAATTTGACTCTTCAGCAGCTGGCTGCAGCCTCCAGGTCTTTCACACTCTGCTACAACCAATTTCCATCATTAAGAGCGTCCCCACCCACTGGGCTGGGTTCACACAGCCCCAGTGTGAAGGCAGCCCCCAGCCCAACCCCACCAGCCTGGGGCAGGGTGACACCTCCTGCTGGTTTTGGACCTTTGGGGACTCACAGGGAGTTAAGGAGAAACCAAAAGTGCCACTTCAACACCACTTGTTCTGGAATTGGCTCCTAGCAAGCTTCTCATTTCTTAAACTTACATTCACAACCGATTTTTTTTTGGCATGTTTTGTACCCTGGACCACTCACCTCCTTCAGGAAGAATGTTCCTGTCTACAAAGTCTGAGAACAAAATCCTCCCACCAGAATCTTCTTTGACCTTGTGTATCTCTATCTAGTCTTACCTTACAGACTCTCAAAATTACAATTCTTTGAACAGGATTATGACTTTGCTACTGAAAAACTTGGGGCACCTCAGTACAATCCCCTCACTTTAGTATATGTATTCATTACCAAGCAGATCCAAGTTGTAGTATGTGACACGCCACTCAAGTTGAACAGGTTCCAAGCATTTCATGCACTTGCACTGCACCCACTGCCCCATGGAATAAGCAGCACACAAGTGTTACACCACATTCTCTAAAGACCCGAGTGTACACCCAGGAGCTTACTGTGCCTGTACTCACACCTAGGTGTGGTGCAAGTCATGCTTGTTTTACAGGTACCCAGTTATCTCACACCAGAATTGCAAGTTTACTATAAAATAATTTATTAGACAGCAATACATCGCTTTAGCAGCAAGCTTATATACATGCACATAAAAACTGCTGACTACCCTACTCAGGGGCTCTAGCTCTTTTGCCCTTGGCCTTGCGGACCTCTTCAATCAGATCTTTTAAGTACTGAATTTCCTTACTAAGGGAATCTGCTTTCTCCTTCAGGGCCTGATTCTTCTGCTCCAACTCTCTGCACTCCCCAGACAGTGCCTCCTGTTCTGCCCTCTTCTTCTGCCGGTAACGGGTGGCAGCTGTCTTATTCTGCTCCATCTTTTTCAATTTCTTATCTATTTTCTTCTCTCCCTTCACCTTTGCTGACACTACCTTCTCTGCAGGATGATCATAGGGTTTGGACCGCACAGAGCCACAGGTGGCATCTGTAGGGAACTGGTTGTCATTGGGGGATCCAACTGAATTGGTAGGACTATGCTGGGGCGTTCCCAGGTAGGAGTCTGGGCTCATGCATATTCCGCTATCATCGGAATGGTTCTCCTCCTCTTTCTCGGACTTGGTGATCACTACCACAAAGGTGGGGCCCTCCTGTTTTCTTTCTCCTTCCAGAACATCCACTTCACTACCTAGTTCTAAACTAAACGAATGGTCTGGAGTGGAAGTTAGAGACCCTGGGGAGAGGGGAAAAGACCAAAGGGAAGCCAATGGGGCCATTGGGTCTGCTCCAATTGGAGATTCAGGGAGATGGGTGATTAGGTCAGTTATCAGTGGAGGTTCTTTGTTGTGAAATTCCTGGATGGTAGGGTTAAATAGGAGATCACACGTGTCTTCCAACGTGGCCATCAGCTCGTCTGGTGAGACGGTGGCTTCCAGATGTTCCATACCTAACAGGGCATCAAAATCAAATTCCTTCAGATCCATCTTCTCCACCATCCACTCCATGCCAGAGAAGGCATCCTCTACACAATAAAAACATTACCACTTCAGTAAACCAGCAACCAATGCAACTCAAGGTTCTGAAAACAAATCAAGAGCCTCATTTTTTAACACCTTTGTTGGTATTAATAAAAGTCAACCATGAGAAAAAAATCTCCTGCCATTTAGCTGCAGAAGACTGCAGGGTACAAAGCAAGCCAGCTGTCAGCTGTTCCAACATTCCATCCCTCTTACTCCAACACCAAAAGAATTCAGGGCCATTTGAAACATACAGCCATGCTTGTTTCTTGTGACCTCTGCCACGCAGTAGTACTATAACAGCCCATACATTATTAAAAAGACAAACAGAAGCGTCACTTTACCATATGCCAGTCCAGCAACCAGCAATTCTATATTGTGTAAGCAGTGTAGTACACACACCTTCCAAGCAGAGGTATGCCTCTGAGGCTGCCTTCATGGAAAGCCTAGCATCTTATTTTTTTAAGAGTAATGTTACTAAATATGTTATGTGCCATTGCAACTGATGTACTTCATGCAAATAAGTAATATCTTACCCTGGCTATCTATGGTGTTGCCTAAACTGTCCACAGCAAGCCAATTGGAGGAGACTGCCTTAGCCTTGTCGCTGGAGAACCCATGCGAACTGAGGGGCTCGGCCACCTCCAGGTAGTCATCTAGGAGTCCCAGACTTTCCTCAGCCACCGAACACGGCTGGCTGAAGGGGGATAATGAATCCCCCAACAGCATCTCGTTGTTCAAGAGGCTCATCTTCGTCAGTTTTTAATGCTTTGATGTCAAAAGATGCAGACAAGTAGACGGTCTTTTTGTCGACTACAGCAATGCTGCTGTGCGGTGCCTTGAAAAACCTGCAAATAAAACTTTAGTTCATCAGTACTTGTTCGACCAGCATGGTAGCTTTTTTTTTTTTAAAAAAAAACCCACAATGCCACTTCATGAAGTATGGCGGTAGTCTATAGCCTTGTAGAACTTCTCCATTTTCGGGACTGCCGTTTGCCTGCAACACATCACCTTTGCCCTTTTAATTGCTTGCGAAGGGCTGACCAGAGCCAGCCGCAGGCTCCAGGTGCCCGTCTCCCACCCAAGGCCGCCCAGCTTCCTCATGCCCAAATATGGGCACGGCTGCGCTGGCCCCACCCACCCGATGCCGTGACTCACGCCCCCTCCAGCAGCCGCAGCCATTTCGTGATCCTGCCGCCGTCCCTCTCCCCACCCCGGCACCGGCCGCCATTTTGTATGTTGCCACGTTTCCACCGGGGTCCAGCACCGGCCGCCTCAGGCCGCCGCCGAGGCGTTACTGGGCCAAATACCGAGGATACACCGATGGGAGACCAGGCGGAAAAGGCTAACGGAGCCCTCCGAAATGAACCGATTTAAAAAAGGAGCGTTTGGGTGAGAAACCGAAGCGAGTGTCACGCACACCACCTTTTACTGGAGTTTCCAGAATGTTACGAAACCCCTCCAGATCAGGGCAGGCTTAAGGCTACAGTACAGCTGCCAGCTTATGAGCAGCCCCCGTTTATCTACTGGGGACGACATACCGCATGGTACTTATATTCTTAGAACCCCGATGCCTCCAGTGCCCCATCTCCCCCAGCTACAGCAGCGTTCTCCCACGCGGGGTGAAGAAACCCCCTCAGGAATGTCCTACTCCTACTCCCACCGAATAAAAAAAAAAAAAAGGAAAGGAAAATCCCAAACTTTTGGGCATCGAGTTTTCGTAAGCCATAGAAGACACGGGAATTTCTCATTGTTTCTTCGGAAATGGCATTTCCTGCCATTTCTGACACGCGCTGCCCCGGGGAAGTTGCACCCCACAAGGATGCCCCCCTCCCCCCCACCTTATTCCCCAGGTACCTTTTTCCCCGGGAAATACCACCCACTACCATACGAGCGATAAACCTGCCCCCGAAGCCCACTTAAAAGCGGGAAAGAGGGCGACTAGAAACACACAAGAGAGGGAATACCAATCCCTCACACACAATACTCACGCCATGGTTGCAGATGCCGGGGATGTGCTGAGGCCGCCGCCGCTGCTGCTGCGCCTGCTGCACTGGCCGATGCCGCCGCTGGCCCTGCCGCCCTTAAAGAGCCATGGCGGCCAGGGGAGGGGAGGCTGCTCCGGTCCGCACCGCGCGGGAAAGGGCTGCGCGTACACACACCAGCACCCCTCTCCTGTCAGCAACAGCCACACAATGAGGTGGCACCGCCCGCGCGGCGCTTTATATAGGATCAGACTTAAGCCAAAAAAGATCCGGCCATGAGGTGTCCTTCCGCCAAGAGTCACCTGCCTCTCGGCAGCGCCCGCCGGCCTGCCGCCTATCTTTCTGGGCTTCTCTCCTGCCATTCTGCGAGGGGTCAAACGCAGGAGCCGCCGACAAAAGCCACCACGCCACGACGAAGCAGAGGAGGAAGGGGACTATATGGTGTACATCCGCGTCAGCCACCTCCCCGCCAGGCGAGGAGCGCGTCACATGACCGGAGCAGCTGAGGACGCTCCCCCCCCCGCGGGAGGGAGCTGTTTTAACCGCCAACAAAGACAGGGCGCTCGCACTGGAGGCATCACGCACATAGCCACGTGGGAAGGGGGGGCGGTCATTGGCTAGAGGCGAATGGTTCACGTGCGCCCTGCGCTGTGATTGGCCAGGGGCCCGAAGGAGGACAGATGCTGAGGGGAAGGGGTGGGGGGCGAGAAGGAGCACCTGGGCAGGGAAATGGCGCCCGGCGGGCGCTGTCGCTGCGCCTCTCACCGCAGCCCTGCGCCTTCCCTGGCCTGTCTGTCTCGAAGCAGCATGTTTCCCCCGCCTTTGATTTCCAAGGGCCCCTTTTGTTCTCTGTGCAAAGTCCTATCGAGGTCAGGCGGGAGCTGGCATGGCTTCCCCTGAAGCGCTGAGGTGGCGGGCCGCCATGGCCTCCTGCTACCTCAGATAACGTGTCAGCTCAGGGCAGCGTCGCCTGCCCTGCCTGCCTGCCCCACGCATGCAGCGCTGAGATAATGGCTGCTTCGGGGCGCGGGCTGTGTGTTTGGGTGTGTGAGGGCGCCCGCCTCTCCGACTTGAGCCCACCGGCCTCGCAGCAGCCATGGTGTGGTATCGACCTGGAGTCATGGGGAGCTTCGCTGGAGACCCACGCTGCTGAGCAGCCGAGAGCATGAGTCTCATCGGTGCCATCAACCTATGCAAGAAATGAAAATGAAGTTGGTTATTCCCCAGCTGAGGGATGAGGACTTCTTCTCCTGCCATGCAGTTTCACGCTGACACAGTTGCTTCTCTGTGCAGACATTACTCAGTGTGACGTGAACATTAATGGATCACCTACACATAGCCTCACAGCTGTAAAGGGCAGTGTCACCTTGGAAAGTTTTTAAAGTGCAGTTTCACATTATGTTTTATCTGATCTAAACCAACTTGCTGCTAGGAAAGAAGGCAGCCCTCTTCCCCCACCCTATTCCTGGCTGTACGGTTCCACCAGCTGGTCTGGCCCTCAGTGAGCCAGCTCAGCCACCTAACCCAGCAGGAAACTCATGGGGGTCAACAGTCTTCTGCTGGTTTCAGTCCCTTCATCAATTCACTCAGGTCAGACAAGCATCAGCCAGTTCCAGTGAGCTGGGAGGATCGGTACCTGTGTGCTTCCTTGCTGTGTCAGAGTTATCCAGCTTTAAACGGTTGCTTTTCCATGTTGCCAACCTTACACAGCACACCATCAGCTCTGAGAGCTGTGGTGGGTCCTTGCTTGTTCAAACATCATCGTCCTGCAGGTCAAATTGCTGTCGGCGACTTCTGCAAAAGGCTCCAGTATTTTCCAGTTAGGGCCTCAACAGTATTTGTGTAAAGCCACGGCCTTCACTGTGTTTGCTCAGGTCTAACTGCCTGGAACTTATTAAACACCTTGACTGATAATTTGCGAGGACGGATGTGACCCAGTTTCTACTTCTAGCAGTCTGATGTTACTATCATCACTACAAAGCAGAGTATGTCACTCCACATCTGTAAACTGAACACTAGCTGCTGAAAGAAAAAGGCAATTTTTCCTCCATGTTGGCTTGTTGTTTTTTTCCTGGTTTGGTGTTTTCTTTTTTTTTTGCCTAGAAGCAAGCACAGATTTTGGAATGACTCATTAAAATGGAGGAGGCAGAGAAAAAATGTCCTCCAATGCCAGAAAACACCACAGTAGCAATTGAGCGATCTAAGATGACTGTTCTGATAAATAACACAATGGAGCAGGCAGATCTTGCTTGAAAGCAAAATTCAGAGGATGCAGCAGCTTTTAAAGAAGCCAAGTGGGTGACTGGATGGGTGGATGGGTGGACAGCACCTCCATGTCCTCACTGGCTAAGGGAGAGCTCTCACATCCCCTGCCGTGCCTGCTTGCCCCTCCTTTAAGTGAAAAGGGTGACTGTACAACCGTAATCGTAGCTAAATAAACAGAAATGCTGTACACACCCAATCCTTCATCTTGAAAAGATAATTATAGATTTCTCTGAAAAGACTCTGGGTATGTGTGAGGAAGAATCACGCAAGCAAAAATGAAATATGCATTGAGGAACTTAACCCAGATCTGCCTGTTTCCTAGGTGCCTGGTTTCCATTTTGTGTGTAAACTTAGGTGGAAATTTGTCTGCGTTACTAGCTCCAGACAGGAATTTTTTAACAATCCCCAATCCAAAAAAGTGAAATCAAGGAACCAGAAGCCAGCCATTTAGTGAACAGCATATTTTTCCCTGTTTCCTGGAGGACTGCAGAATTACTGTTGTTACATAATTTCATAAGCTACATCCCCAATTCCTTTATAAATCATCTCTCTGCATTTGCACATATTATGTCAGAGGTTTCTCCTTTATGGCTAGAGTTTTTGACCGAGGTAGAAGACACTTCTTTAAGCCCAAGTAACAATTCCTTGGGAATTTTTGTACAAAAAAAATTACAAGTATTTTCTAAGTAGAGAACTACTAGCTATGCGCCACTAACTCAAAAGTGTCTAAAAAGCATTCTTTTACAATATTACAGAATATATTTGCAGCTCAGAGACTGAGAAGTCTGGCATCTCTGAAGAAAATGGAATTTACAGTGCAAAAAGGTGGCTTCTGAATGAAGATTAATTTGTGTGCATGGTCAATGAACTCCTGCTGACACGTTAACAGCTTTAGCACTGTGGATGGTATTTTCCTGCCCTGGGTACCGTACCTCGGCAAAGCGAGCTCCTGTGATAAGTAAGATCCATCCCAACCCAGAAGTGAGGGGCCAGCTGCAGGCACATTGAGCTGCTTGTGCAGAGCTCACTGCGGGATAGAGGCCAAAGTGACCTTGCTGGGAAGTGATGAACTGCCCTGATAAATAGGGCACTGCAGAAAGCCACCTCCTGCCAAACAGCAGCACCAGGAGGTGGAAAACTAATACTGTTCCGTTCACCCTCCTCCTTCATTAAGATGGAAGGTCAATATATGGGCTTTATTTCTTTTTTTCTTTTTTTTTAAGTTAATGTTGCAAAGAAAAAGAGGTTTTCTTCTTCCACCAGCAAGTATACAGGAGATAAACATGCTGAATGCTATGTTATTAAGTACACAAAAGACAAGGACGTAAATGTTTCCATAGTAACATCTCCTCGCACAGTCTAGATGGTCTGTATAGGATGCTCTCAGGGACTGTCGGAGGGGGGGGAAGTACTTGTGGGCCTCTGTAGCAGGGGAGCAAGGTCGGGGGGGAGTACATATTGTGGGGGCCAGGAGTGTAACCAGCGAAAGTAACGGAGATGGAGACGTTTTCTCTTTCCTGGAGTGCTGGGAAAGCCTCAGCCAGGGAGAAGGGCTGGCAGACACTGCATCAGGAGGGTGCACGACCTCCATGGTGGCACTAGGCAGGTGGCTTTGGGCCCCACTCTGAGCCTCAGTGCCCTGGAGAAGGGGCAGGTGGGCTTTTGGGTGGCCCTGGGCCCTGCTGGAGTGGCTGGGGAGGAGGCATCCTCGCCTGCTTTGCAGAAGGATGAGTGTGAGGGCAAGTCCCCAAAGGGATTCTTGTGATAATTTCTGTCCTTCGAACCTTCCGTCAGAAGGGACAGGAAGCCTTACCCCGCAATTCAACGAGCAAAGCATTTCCAGAGACCAGCAGGAATTTTTCCTGGAGACAGAGTGCCGAGGGGAAATCAACAGAGGAATGAGGCAAAGCAACTAGACATTTTGAGCAATTTCGAGGGAGAATTACCTACAACCTCTACGGCACAGGCTCATTCGCAGTGCTCGGTTGCTTCTCTCCTCATGCGGCACAAATAGATATCTGAAGGATCTTTTCTGCCAGATTCTCATTGTAAGCTCTTTAGGGATTGCTTTGTATACGTTCCATTTCAAAACTAGATTGAAAAGCAAATATATTTGATTAAAGATCAGGCTGGGAGGTATTAGCGTCCATCTTTTATTACATACAAACAGAAAATAAGTTAGCCATATGCTCTGCCTCGTTTGTTTTGGACTAGTACACCAAATGGAATCTCTAATAAATCATTCATTGCTTGCCCACCCCCTAACTGTCTTCTGTTTCCATCCTGTTATGTAAATATCACTGACATTTGAAATGAGACTAATAAAAAAAAGGATTAAATCTGCAATTTACATTTGCAACTTACAGTTCAATTATTTTAGACAGATAGGGAAACAATCCTGGTTGTCCACCTACATTTTTCTTACCGAACAAACGTGGGCATGCCACGCACATGCTGATAGCCCGCAAAATACGTCTCTCCAGAGGCTTAGTTACTCAGAATCAGCCAGGCTGCGGCCAGCTGCCACAAGTAAAAACATTGTGCAAATCTGGTAAGAGGGAGGTGAGTTTTAACTTGTAACTTGCCCAAGCATGAATTTCCTGAGCAAAGCTACAACTGGTTGAAAATGATGTTTAGCAAAAAATATGTGTGGAGGGGGGGAGGAGGGGGTGCTGACTTCTGTTCATACCATCGGCAGATTTTTTTGGTTTTCTCATTGTCCAGCCTTGCTTTATTATGATGAAAGGACTTGGGGGTCAAGAATAATCCCTCATGTGTATTAGCACATGTGGGAGCAGTTTAGCACACAAACAAAAGCCTTCAGTTGTCCAAGCAATAGAAGAACAGAAACATTATCTCATGGCAACTGTTGTTCTTCACGGGGCTGTAGTTAATATGGCCCCCACTGCAGACTGTGGATTCAGTGCCTTTCAAAATGTATGTATCTGTATGTTATCAGCATCTGCTGAGAATGCAGATGAGAAGGTGAGAATGGCAATTCCCCTTCCTTCTTTTTCTATCAGCGCAAAGTTTAGCGAGAGCTGCAGCCTGACGAGCAGGTACAGATTACGAGACTGCAGCATCTCAGCCACAGACACCAGTGGGTGAGTTAACAGCCCATCGCCACTTCAGTGGATTTCTTGTTCACTCAGTGCCCCTTAGACTTGTCAGAGTGAGGACTCCTTGCTGTATCAGTCCAAAGGCAATTACACTGTAGTCCTGAACCTGCCATCTAAACAAGCAGCTTCG